CTGGCCTTACTACTAGGAGCAAGGACGCTACTAGAGGCTCCTGGCCTTACTACTAGTAACAAGAAACTACTAGGGGCTCCTGGCCTTACTACAAGGAGCAAGGACGCACTAGAGGCTCCTGGCCTTACTACTAGTAACAAGAAACTACTAGGGGCTCCTGGCCTTACTACAAGCAAGGACGCCACTAGTAGCATGGGTGCCTGGAGATCTGTCGCCGTGCCGAAAGATCGTCCAGCCACGTCCGACCGGAGACCCGGTGAGCCACGTCTCAGGTACCCCGACCAAGACCTCCTCGTTGAGAAGGCCCCAGGAGCGTTGTTGGCCTGGCCACCCCCTCCGTACGGCATCATCGAATCCATTCGATGGTCCACCAACAAGTGTACAAGTTCAAAGAGCTAGTAACAAGGACGCTAGTAGTAACAAGTGCCACGCTACTAGGAACAAGTGCCTTACTAGTAGTAACAAGAAGCTATTAGTAGCAATAAGAACAACATCATTGTTTTTCTTTGTTGGGACACTCGAAGTCCCATCACAGCCTTTCACCATGGGAAGCTACACTCGATGGTGAGTCATTTGAAACACAAGTCAAAATTGAAACTCTGAAGAAGCGCATTTTCCTTCACCTTCTTGTGTGCTCTCACACCAGATGTATCTCCCTTATTCTCCCTCAGCGTTTTGCCGATCATCGCGAGACCTTTGGAGCAAAGAGACAGATTAGGGAGGGAGTATGAGGCACACTGGCTGACCTACTCTGGAATGGGGGAAGTGTTCACTGTCATGTTCTTACATGTTACTTCCCCAGCTGGTCCCAAGAAAACCTCGAGAACTATGTCAAATTGAGTGGGAGAAAGCATGCCTGCACATAGCTTCGCGACATGGTGAACGTCTAAGTCTCAAGTCTCCGGCAGTCTTGGAGGCCATCGCTTGTAGGTTGGAGGCAACATCGCTACTAGTAACAAAGAAGAACAAACAATATAAGTATTGCTATTAGGTTGGAGGGCATTGCATTTAGCTTGGAGTCTGAGTCTGCCAGTTGACTGAATCGGATCCCCATGCTAAGTCCCGCTGTGAACGCCACCCCACTCCACGCTAGTAAGTGACTTTAAGTTTCTACATTGAAATTATGAGAACAAGAAGCGTGGCTCACGGGATTCCTCATGCCGCTGATGTTGCAAAAGAAGGACGACTGATACCACCATGAATAAAGGAAACAACAGAAAAGAAAAAAGACAAGGAAAGGAACAAAGGAACAGGAAAAGCAATAGCTCTGGCCGCCTCTGGCCTGTTGATTGTGAAAACTCTTCCCTATTGCTCAAACAAACCAAGACTCCACATGAACTCTCTGGCCTCTGGCCTGTTGAATGTGAAAACTCTTTCCTATTGCTGAGAGGACCATGACTGAACTCACCAAATCCATCTCTTCTGCGCGGAGTCTGCGCGGCAGCCCCAAACACCTTCTTGCTGCTGGCGTACCCATGCCTGTGCCGTGGGTGGATTGATTCTGTGAAAGGTGATGTGCACAGCCCTTAATTTGCACGCATCACGCCACAAGAGGTAGTCTGGAAGTGACTATGCTCGGTGGTATGGGTGGGCAGAGGTTCACGAACAGCAGGTTATGAGCCCAACGCCGAGCGTTGGTTAAGGATCCAGGAATGGATTGGTTGGAGCATGTGGCATGCCATGGGCGACATGGAGCATGTGACAAAGCAGATGGGCGGTGCTCAATGAGTGGGTGCATGGCAGCTACTGTGGTGTGTGGGGTGTGGCAAGCTATGGCGGCGTGCAGGATGTGGCAGCTAGGGCGTCATGCTGGGGCTGGGTGCCTAACAGCCGGTGCGGTGGCTCATGCCCGGCGACCCAGCAACAAAAACGCGGGGTTGGAAGCTGTGCCATCATTCATACATGCAACCTACAGCATGGTGTGGTCTGCAGGTTGGGGGGAGTGTGAAAGGTGATGTGCACAGCCCTTAAGGTGCACGCGTCATGCCACAAGAGGTAGTCTGGAAGTGACTATGCTCGGTGGTATGGGTGGGCAGAGGTTCACGAACAGCAAATTCAACCCCTCCATACACGCACACAGCTCGTGTTTGCTTTTGTCAGGAGTAAAGAAAATACTCACCCACCCCCAGATTGAAATTGATTCTCTTCAGTCTAGTCTTTGGGCAGTAAGTTGAATCCGTCCGCGTGTGTCACTCCCAAACTCGTTGGTCTGCAGAAATGGCCAAACATGGGATGTCTGAAGGCCACCCTTTGAGCCACCAAACACCAGGGAGCCACGTTCTGGTGGTATTCCAAAAAAGCACACCGGTGGTATGATGTGGAAGAGGGTGAAGAGTCCGGGTTGACCGAACGATCAACACACATCAAAGGCCAAGGTCGGCCTGGGTCGGCATCGGTCCGGGACTGTTTCGGATGCTGAGTCGACTCGGGAACCCGAGCCCACGTACTTCGCGCCGTACGTCTGGGATCTGAGACGGTGAGGTGAAGGGAGGTCACTTCATGAGGTGAAGACACATTCCCAGTGTTGCAGCTGCAGGCCGCCCTGCAATCACCTGAAACTGGATGAACAAAAATACCTCTGAACCAAAAACCATAGAAGTCAAGAAATCACTACGAAAGTAGATGAGAGCAGTGAATAGTGGTGTGTCATGTCTGACTTTCTTCGACCACTCCAACACTACTATTAAGTCCCTCCCAAGTCCGTTTAACCTGGCGTCTACTGGCTCAAGCCGGCTACAGCCTGCAAATCCACCTGGTGCGTCTCACCCAGCAACTTCGGGTCCTTGCGAGTGTGAAAGAAACGACTTGCAAGGCGGGGTGATCTACATTGTCTGGGGACCACCTTGTCTCTTTTGGATGTAGATATGCTTCACATAACTTAACAAGAAGGGGGACATATATATATATATATAATCGGTATGATTCGGTATACCCGTGAGGCAAAACTTAATTATCCACGATGGCCGTATCCGCTTGGATGGTCCGCTTGACCCTTCCTGCAGTTCCTGCTGACACATCCTCCCTTTAAAGCACAATCAAAGCGCCACCCTTTTTGTTTATTTTACCTGTTTCAACAAACCCTCAGCCAAAATGTCACCGGCTGGCTAGAATACCTTGTGTGCCCTATCTCCTCATTGATTCAATAAGAACGATTCCACTCCCGCTGCCACGTCCAAACACACCAGTCCGATTGTTGCTTCGTCGTTTTCGGTTGGTTCCCCCCCCTTCTTCCTCCCCATTGGACTTTAATACATATACTAATATAACCGTCTAACTAACCATCGGATCAGCGGGTTTCGTTTCGGACATCGGTCGGGACGGTGGACACCGCTCCATGATGCGAAAGATCAGGAGATGACCTGTTCCCATCACGGGGATGCGCTCCTGGGCGGTGCCGAGGTGGCGGTGCGGTGGCGCGCACCGGACCGCCGTTCAACGCTGAGTTGGATGAGGGACAAATGGATGTCATCACTTCAAAGTGCTCAAAGTGAGGGAAAACACCTTCCTAACCATCCTGGACCTATGGAAAGAGATCCTGCCGTATTCTGCAAAAGGTCAAAGCAGTCAATCATGATCAATCCAGCCCTTTTATTCCACTTCTCCAACCCTCCATGCTCCCACTAGTGCCATACAGCTGTCCCACAACCCCATGGCCAGTACCAAGAAGAACCTCTTGGACAACTTCTGGTTTGGGAAGCTGACAGCTTTTCCTTCTCCTGCCCCATTCCGATAGCCAACGATTCCAATGATGAATAGCAAATTAATTCAGAGTCTTGCTGTATTGTTCTTCAGACTCGGTCAACTTAGAAAACAACACCAATGTAGACGTGTGCAGCACAACAAACAGAACATTGTGTCCACACACAAAGAATATACAGTATATACCCTGAGCATCTGAACCCTACAAATTTGTCGGGTTTGAAAACAAACCTCGGGTTTAGCCGTGACATGAGGGAAAACCTCGGGTTTTTAACCAAATCCTCGTGTTTTGCCCCAAAACCCTCGATAGCCATGTGCAGGTGCTCCATATTCATTTTCTCCCGCCGACTTATCAAATTTTCCGTGGTCAAAACATTTTCTTCACAATATGTTAAAAACATTCAACACTCTTGTCAGGAAAAGTTCGGGTCCGTGATTGAGAGCTCCGATAACCTGTAACAAACCCGTGTCAAACCCGTGATTATCCCGTGTCAACCCGTGATTTTGGATGAAAAACATCGGGTTTTCAGAAAAACATCGTGTTTCCCAAACCCGTGACGAACCCGTGACAAACCCGTGACTATACCGTGACAACCGGTGGTTTTTTTCACGGGTTTTAGGGGGGTACAATAGTTGCATTTTTGGTTGAGATGTTTTTTTGTTCTGATCATCGACCTGGGCTTTTGGAGTTTGAATTCAAGCTCCTGTGGCCCGGCCTTCGAAGATGGCATGGGCGGAAACAAACACCAAAATGGGAAACCTCGTGTTTCATCCAAGAACCTCGTGTTTTGGGATGAACCCTACGTTTTAGTCGTGTTTGGAGGCACAAGGTATATATGTGGCAATATGTTTGTCTTATGCTGACGGTGCTTCTTTTTATGTTTGTTTAATGCTAAAGGCTTGAGTTATCTTTATAACATGCAGACTGGTTTTTAATGCTGGCGGTTTTAATGCTGGCAGTTCTAAATAAAATGATCACCACACACACACACACGCACACACTTGAGATATTGTGTGCGGAACTGAATGCGGTGCCACACGCCGGCCTAGGGTTCCATTTCCTAAGAGTACCAGTAAGGAACCAGCGAAACCTGGGGGTCTTCAAACGGAGAGGTGGCCAAGAGAAAAAGGAAGGAACGGCGGTCGCGAGTCGAACAGGTTGACGGCGGCTCGCGCACATCTGCAGAAAGTGAAGCAAAGCTCTAACCAATACCGTGTCATGAGGTTCTTGGCTTAGCCTCTCGCCATACGGAAAGTGGAAAATTGCAGGTACACAAGAAGGCGTCCCTTCTCGCTTCACAATCTCAAACCACCGTCTTCGTTGGGCAGTGGATGGAATGAGATTCACTGCCCCCCTGCGATAAAAAAAGAAGGAATCCCTATGACTCCAAGGGTTACACACACACGCCTCCCCGAAGGGAGGCATGTTTTAAGCTCCGCGCCAAAAGGTGCGGACAAAGTAGTAGCAAGGCCAGGAACCTCTAGTAGCGTCAAGTAGCGACCTAGTAGGAAGGCCAGGAGCCCCTAGTAGCAACCCAAGCTAAGGTCCGGACAGGAGGGAGGGGTGGGGAGAGACGAGAAAAAGGAAAGAGAAGGAAGGAAGGTGTTCCCAGCTACGACGCAAGCGTCCAAGGACACGCCAAAAGAAGAGCGGAGAAGGGTTCCCAGCTATGACAAAAGCATCCAGGGACACCCAAGGAGGAAGGAAGGTGGAGAGGGAAAAGAGAAAGAAAGAAAGAGAGAGGGAGAGAAAGGGAGAGGAGAGAAAAGGAAAGGGCAGGTGTTCCCAGCTACAAAGAATCGTCCAGGGACACACCAAAGAAGGAAAGGGGTGATCCTGAGTCTTCCATTCAGGAAAACCCCAAGGAAAGAAAGGGAAGGGAAGGGGAAGCAGGGGGACTAAGCTCGCGACAGGTTCCAATGAACCTCAAAAGTACTTCGGTCGCTCTGACCACATTGAGGCATTAAGCCAGCTTGGACCGCTGCGGTCACGTAAAGGCATGAGCCAGCTTGGAATTCCAAAGATGGGACAAAAATCATCGGACGTACGGCCTAGGCCACCTGCTGTCCGCTCCGGACACCTACCTCTCCAGAGCAAGGGAGAGAAAGACATACACCCGTTCGACGGGTCCACGGGAGGCACTCTGCGGGCTCATCCCGGGTTGGCACGAAGCCAAACACACTTGAGATATTGTGTACGGAACTGAATGCGGTGCCACACGCCGGCCTAGGGTTCCATTTCCTAAGAGTACCAGTAAGGAACCAGCGAAACCTGGGGGTCTTCAAACGGAGAGGTGGCCAAGAGAAAAAGGAAGGAACGGCGGTCGCGAGTCGAACAGGTTGACGGCGGCTCGTGCACATCTGCAGAAAGTGAAGCAAAGCTCTAACCAATACCGTGTCATGAGGTTCTTGGCTTAGCCTCTCGCCATACGGAAAGTGGAAAATTGCAGGTACACAAGAAGGCGTCCCTTCTCGCTTCACAATCTCAAACCACCGTCTTCGTTGGGCAGTGGATGGAATGAGATTCACTGCCCCCCTGCGATAAAACAAAACAAATTAAAATCCAAAAGGATCCCTATGACTCCAAGGGTTACACACACACACCCGCGCGCGCGCACCAACACCCTCTGAAGCTTCAAGTGTACTCATCAATTTGGGTCCAAGCTGCTTCATTTGGGGATCATGTGGTGCCCATCTTTACAAGGGTTCCACCATGGTCCCATATTCGGTATTGAGGTGGCCCCTTCCGAGTGGAACCCTATGTCATTAGCTACAAACTGAGACACCCGGTGATGAAGAGATGTGATGAGACGATGAGCAATAAAAAACAAAGTACACAAAACACCTCCATGGACGAACATTGCTTCGTCTGTCCGCCGCCTCCCAGCGGGGCCGTGCGCGGGAGCCCGAAACGGCACCTCAGCAATCAGAAGCTCTCGGCCGCAGGGGAGGATGAGGGGGTAGGAAGAGATTATATGTTTTAAAGACAAAAACAAGCTGCAGAACCTCTGAAAAGGCTCAAACGTTTACTTTTACATGTGCCTGAGCTCAAACCTGGGACAATGACCGAAGGCGGAATAGGTAGAGCCCTTCCGGGGAATTGGTCGATTGAGTTGCGAGCTTCGGTTCGATGATCGGAGATTCACGGTGCCTGTCACTGGATGGGTGAATCGTTTCCAGGATAGTGAGATACACACACCAGTTGGGAACCATAGTAATCCCGAGTACCTATTAAAATCGTTTCCAGGGCTGCCAGGGCCCCCCGTGTTTTTCAATAGGTGGACCGGATTAGCTGAGCTCAAACCCGATTTCCAGTTCCTGCTTCATCCTGTGTGGCCAATCTTTCCCAGAAAGGTGATCAAATACGGCTCGGCGGCGGTATCGAGGTGCTTCACCGCTGCGCCGCAAGAGGCGGTTCAATCAAGATTGTTTGATGTTTGATGCGGCTTTTGATGTTGTTCTTCCCACACATGCCTATGACATCTCAAGCTGGAATAGGCAAAACATCAGCATCCTAGTTACAGTGCCTGGATGACGTCTTGCTTGGGGCTCCGACCCTCCAAAGCCAATCTCAAAAGGTGGGAACGGTAACGGACCCCCCTAGCCTTTCGTTCAACCGCACCCAAACAAACCCGCATGATTCCACAAGGAAGCCAAACAACTCATATCTTATAGCTTTCCTCACTTCATCTTCACCTAAACCGAGGACCCCTCCCACCACTCCAACATCACCCCGTGCAGTGCATGGTGCACTCGCCCGCCCACTCACTCCATCGAGTTGCAAGTCTTGGTCCGGCCTGAAGCGTCTGCGGCTGTGGGCTGCGGTCGTGGAGCTTGAGGAAGCGACTGGATCTCTCGTGTATATAAGGCCCCTATAGGCCCTAGGAGCAAGGACGCTACTAGGGGCACCTGGCCTTACTGCTAGGAGCAAGGATGCTACTAGTAGGGCTCCGACTAGCTTCGTTTTCGGTGCTTGGGGTGGGTTTCGCCGACTACCTTCCTTAGAAGTAAGTGGGGAATGTACCCGGACCTGAAGTGAAGAGAAACAGAATGGGGAGAGCCTCTTTGGGAGAGCCGAAATGGATAGCCCCAGTCCCCCAAGCCGTCCCTCCGGACCCGACCACCCACATCGCCTCCTTCGGTCACAAGTACCATCGATTTGCAACAGCTTTAGTCTTAGCTAGCCGCTTTAGCTTCTGATTCTTTGATACCACTTAAGCCTCCCCAGTAAGATCAGCGGCAACAACTAAGGGAAACCGATCAGCGGCAACAACGAAGGGAAACCCAAGGATTTGCCGGTGTTCCACGACCTTCGTGGGCAGGGTTACTGATTTACAGATTTACACCATATGACTTCGGAACAAATGGGCGTCCCAGCCCACCACAAAGCCATCAAGCTCCACCTTGCGACCGAGGAGTGCGGGCATGCAACCACTCTCTCTTGCATCACCGTCCCCTTTGCAGATACATGTAAGACGGTTCAAAACCATTCAAGCAAGACCACAGCCATCTGAAAGCTGGAACACTTCTTTCTCTGAAACAAAGTGAGCAACACGTGGCATTTCTTGATGTTGAAGGATTCAGATTCCAAAGAGTCCACCCTGATCCCCCAAACAAACCATCTAGAGAAAGGGTTCTATTCATTTCTATTCCATACATGGATGTGTTGGGCTCGGTAAAAGTGGATGGATTGGCGTGGCAGATCCACTACTCAGCAGTCGCCGCAAGTGGCCCAACTGGTGGCACCCAGTCTTCATCACAGACGTCGTCGACATGCGAAATGTCCACTGCCAACGTGCCACGAAAAGGCAACAGCGGCAACAGCCGGAAACTGCAACTGTCCAAGTGTCGCTAAATCTGTCCTCACACCTCATGACAGCTCCGACCAGATCGAACTGCCAATATCGGATATTGCTCGTGCCGAGTTGAGTCCTGTTAGAGTTCTCTGCTTGTGCTTCCAGTATTTTGCCGACACGAAAACCACCGAACACCTCCGCCGTCCGCCGAGCCATGTGGTCTTCGTCTACGACGACGGCCTCCACCCAAACGTCGCCCTCAGCGACCGAGAGGTCCGCACTGTGGCAGCACACCTGGTGCGCCGCGTCAAGCGGTTTTTTTTCGCACGAAGACCAACCACTAGCCTTTTCCGAGAATTCAACCGTTAAAGACTCCGACTCACTATGGTTTCATGCAATATATCCTGGTTTGTTGTCTTCCTTTTTATCTCGAGTAAGGTTTACTGGAGTTCACCCTCTGTTACTTCAACCGCAAGCCCATGCAAGTTGAGCCTGAAGAGACGCATGGGGCAAGTAGGTGAGTTCTATAGATTCTATACATCTTTCTGTGATCCAGTGTCGCAGTGCCGACCCAGCTGCAAAGGGATGTCCTATCCATGAGCAATCCCGGAGTGGCGAAGCCAAACAATTCTTACTAATCCCGAGTACCTATTTAAAAACGGACCCCTATTAAAAAAAAATCATGCCGGATCTCCCTAAAATCGGTTTATATTTGGTTTTAAATTACCGCCCTTTCAAGCCGCTACAACATATGGTCGATTTTGGGGGTAGTTTTTTTTATTAGGTTCCCCAAAACTCCCTCAAAGTAGGTCCCAATACACCCTCAAAATCGACCATGTTGCGTTGCAGACTCTCCGCTGGCTCTCCTAGTAGCGATGCCAGGAGCCCCTAGTAGGGGCCTTGCTCCTAGTAGCGATGCAAGGCCAACAAAGTACTGCACCTGCCACGAAATCTGCACTTCAAGGCCAACAAAGTACTGCGCGCGCAGCGAATTCTGCACTTCAAGGTCCATAAAGTGCTGCGCCTGCCACGAAATCTGCACTTCAAGGTCAACAGAATACTGCACCTGCCACGCAATCCGCATTTCAAGCTCCACAAAGTACTGCGCCTGCCACGAATTCTGCACTTCAAGGTCCACAAAATATTGCACATCCACTTATTTTGGGCCCCCCGATTTCAGGGACCCCCTATTAGAAAAAATGCGACCGAGGTTTCCTTATTAGGGGGGGGGGCCCGTGGTGGACCGGATTAGGAGGACCCCAAAGCTCTAAAGGGCCAAAGGAAAGATAAGGACAGTCCTATACAAACAGCTCTATATATCTATATATATATCAGTCCCCAATACTTCCAGTATCTGCCAGTCCTTTTACATTTCGAGCCCTGCGAGACCGACAGCCTCGATCATGGGCCATGCAGCAACCTGCCGTGTTCGTCGTCTCGCCGGTGGAAGGACACCGCAACAGCTGTCGCTGCTTGCTACAGCACGGTTACTGAAGATCTTGCCGGAATTATTAGATGGTCATGATCGGACCCCCCGGACTCAACCGAAAAGCCTTCAAGCAGGTTTTGTCTATAGCTCATGATATATTAATTCTTCAGGTGTGAATTGGGCTTTGAGGGTAATTCAAGCGATTCCGAACTGGAGTGCGCAAAACTGGGCCGAACTCGAACTGAGATCAGCTTCATAGATCAACCATGAACAACCACACCCAGGCCAAGCTTTTTTGCATGGGATTATGAAGAAGATGGCCCAACAAAATAATGAATTCGCTACAGTAGAGTCCAAATCACTTCGTTTGGAACTTTCAGATCACCCACATGAAGTTCACAGAAGCTCCTGCGTTCGTTGAACCAATCTACCTCCTCGCGCACTCACTTGATGTCTAAAACATAAAAACATATTAAACTAATAAAGCATATTAAAGCCATCATAAGCCATCCTTCTCTCTGAGTCTCCCCCTGGCTGAAATATTCATATGTCCATTGAAGCCTAAATGAAGAGTGTGTGGAGAAAGGGGGTCAAAAAAATGTTTACACCAAGTCCATAGTGTATCATAGAGACCTTCCACAAAGTTCTGCGAAGGTTTCTGGTTCTTTGTTACGATTATATTATATAGTTTTCCTACTGGCCAACCATTCCACGAAACGTCCCCGAATATATAGTTCCGGGTTCCACGAATGTCCCAGGCCTTCCACGATCTTAGTAGAATAGGTGTTTGCATGTGTTTGCAAAAGTATTTTTGTGAACGAGTAACAACCAGTTACAAGTGCATCACTACTACCCTTCCGTTGGCGTTTTCGTCTCTTCCTCCAAATCATCGTTTCTCTCCAAATGGCTTGGTGTCACACCAAAGCCACCCCCGTCGTCATCCCAAGTCCAACGGCCTCTGGCCGTTGTGGCCCGGTGGCATCGGCATTGGACGCCCGTTGAGCTCTGAGGGACGCGGGGCCCAGGGGACCAAGTTGGCGCCCAGTGGCTTGGGCTGGCTCAAACTGTTTTTATGTGCTGATTCCGAAAAAAACAAGTCCTGTGAGGCTAGGCTTGGGAGAAGATGAGGACCTAAAACACTGGCGATGAAAGGGATCACTGGGCGAGGCGGGTGACAGAAGGATCATAGTTTGCTGGTCAAAGCCACTAGTTTTCATCCTTCTATCTTATGCTCGGATGCCTGTGGGGGTTCTGACTGGCTTCTTCAACATTGCTTTAACATGTCAAGTGCTGTTTCAGTGAAAAGTGGTCGAACGTGCACTCGTTTCAAGCAATCTGATTTGAAGGGATGTTGGTTTCTGCTGTTTGGGTTTCTACATCTATTTCTTCAACACCACCTGTCCATGTTTTCATATATATACCCTGGAGCAAGCGATGGCAAAAGGAAGTCCATGTGACGCATGTGACTGCTGGATGTCATTACTCTCAACCCTTTCAAATAACACTACAAATCAGCCCCCCCTCAAGAACCTTCGACAAATCTATGGCTCAATCCCTGCCAAAACGTGACTGCACTTTAGCCAACTTGAAAGATCCGTTGAGATGTGGCAGTGGGCCCCGCCTGAAAAACAACTTATCTCATGCCAAATGAATCAAAATGATGGCTTTCACACGCCTCCGCTTCCAGGGGATTCACACGCCTCTTCACCATCTTAGCCGTTTTTCAAAGCAACCTCCTCAGGTCCCTGGACGCGACCATTTTCACAAACAAAAGGGTGTGTAGATAGGGAGACCTCCCGACCCGCAAGCAGGAAAATAGACCAGTCTACCCAGCCACGGCCAGGGCATCTCCCTATTACAATACACACCCAAATACAAAGCACATTCCTCTAGCTCTTGCTACCTCTGGTGATGACGAAATTCGGGGAATCGTCCAGGGACCCTTCTGCGCAGGTGTTTGGAGCCCGAGAGCATCTCATTTCTGCGATACTTCAAGCCACAAAGTTTGGAATTAAATCCAAAGGTTGAAGGACGCTACGAACGGGGCTCCTGGCCTTATTACTAGGAGCAAGAAGCTACTAGGGGCTCCTGGCATCGCTACTAGGAGCAAGGACACTACTAGGACCCGTAGGCTTGACTATCCCAGTTGGGTACCCCAGGTCACTGGTCCTATAGGTCACCGGGCAAACCTCTGCCCGTTTCCTGAGCTTCAAATTGACGCCGTGGAGGGGACCAGTAGAAATGGACCTATGATGGTGAGGCAGTTGAAATGAACCATCTTTGCATGGCCGCTTGTACCCACAAGGGTATATGATATAACGTATGCGGCGTATGCAGTATGATCATTATCCGTTTTGGCGGTGCAACTCAGTGCGCGATAGGTCCCAGCACCCTGCGATGTACCCTGCCCAAAGAACTACGTACCTATCCCTACCAGCCAAGGCTGTGAAGGAACACATCCAATCTAATCATGAGCCCAAAACACTTAGGTCAGTGGATTCTTGGCTACTTAATGTCTTGAAAGGAATTCCTGGAATCACCCCGGCTGTTTGATCCAGTTTTCCTCACCCTGACCATCCCTGACGCATCCAAACCCAATGAAAAAACACCCTTCACCCTGCGCTGAACTGGTCTTTTCTCTTGTTCATCGATCTGCATCCCCCAACAGATCGATTGCTGCATGTCGCTGCCACGTCGCGACCTGTTTCAGTGCCATCTTTGGGTTTCAATCCAGCTGATCACAAGCAGCACAGGACACAATATTGACAGCTCACCTTCTTGCCGCAAATGAATTCCATTGGAATTCTTGATTCACATTGATGCTTGATCATCTTGATCCAGTGTTGTACTCAAACAAATCCGTTTTCCCCCAGTAACCTCTCGGTGGCAAGCCCAGCGATCCAAGCCCAAGCTCCCCATTGGGCCGCTGGAGCTCCGTGTGATCCTGAGGATCTCGCTCGCTGCGCTGATCGGCGCTGAGATCTCGGTGGCTGGAGAGGTCAACGGGAGAACAGCATCGCTACGAACGGAGCGATCGGACGCTACGAACGGGGATCCTGGCCTTACTACGAACGGAGCTTTTTTGCCAGCAGTGCTGCTTGGCAATGGGTGGCAACAGGGTCCGAGTACACTGGAAGCATTACCTTTGCATCTGCCTTCACGTGACATATTTTGTTGCAAAGGGTGCCTTCTGCCTTCGTTCGCGAACCCTTTTGGCTTTCAACAGTTCCCTCCAGGGATGAGAAAGAACTACGGATATTATATAATGTATATAATTCCAGAAGCGATGAACAGTGTCTCCACACTGCAAGAAAAGCAACAATCACGACAAAGGATTTCTTGCATATGCAAGTTGCCTTCGCGAAGAATAGCGTTGTGGGGCCTACGCGATTTGGCTTGGCATGCCTTCGCGCATGCACAAGTGGGCTATGATGCAGTTCCACTTTCATTCAAACCTTTACATGCCAATGAGAAACACTGCTCGTCCGTTCTTTGGCAGCCAGACCTCAAGGCTTAGGCGTCACAGAAAGGACTCGAAGGACTAGGTGAAGGTTGAAGGGTGACTGGGCAAATGGAGAAAGCAAAGAACTAAGAGTGCAGTCGTACATGGCAGCCGTAGTGCCAATTTCTTAATTAAAGAAAACAGCGAAATGAGGTATCCCCCTCAAAACCGCACCATTTCGCCGCGGTTTCGATGGCAGTCCAGAAGATCAGCTGCTCCAAGCACCGCAGCAGCCGTGAGAGGGGGGCCCTGGCAGGGAGTGTGTACTTCTTGCTTTCGGGTGCCAAGAGTGTGACCACCTTTGAATGGTATACCTGTCTGTTTGGCTGGCTACACCAAACATCACAGAACAACGAACTTCTGGATGTAGGAATAGAACCGGGCATGGCTCTATATGTATCTATGGTTATTACTGATAGGTACCACCTTACATTTTCACCGTCCTTTCAACATACTTCAACCTAAGCGCTCGATGACTTGCATATTTTCCTCAGAGCGCCAACCTCAGCAGGCTCTCTGGGATTCAAGGACCAAGGGACGGCGTCGAGCCAGAACCACTTAAATCGTGTTGTGCAGTCCCCTGGTCCTCATCTGATGACTCATCTCATGTCCAGTGATTTCATGTGATCCTCATGACTCACCCTTGGCAATCATGTCATCCTCATCTGACGTCCAGTGCTTTTCATCCAAAGCCTTTCGCATCCCCCCATGTCACCCATTCGGCCCGGCCGGCTCTACTGGAGGTGCCTTGAGGCCGGGCAGACCCAAAGTCCTGGCGATGGTTTTCTTTGGCAAAAAAGAACGTTGATGTGCATCCTTCTAAATGGATCGGATTTTTCGCTCCGACGTTCTCAGAAAAACTCAAAGGGACTAGGCTTTGCACCGGAGACTGAGCAGGTAAAATCCGTGGAACCTTGCGGCTGCCGGGTGGGAACGAACACAAGGATTCTTTAAGGATTCTTTTGGGTCGAACGCAGTTACCGCTGCGGTCTAAAGGAATTAAAGGCCCCCCCTCTAGGTCTTTGGTTTTAATCTACGGAACCATTGACTACTTGCAAACTAGTAGGCTTCCTGCATCCAATGTTCGCACCGGATGGTACCGGACGGGTCATTCTGATTGCAAGCTCCATCCGGTGGCAGCGACTCTAGACTTCAGCCACTTGTGGTAACCATTCCTATAGCTACTAGTAGCGTCCTTGCTCCTAGTAGTAAGGCAAGGAGCCCCTAATAGCTTCTTGCTCCTAGTAAGCGATGCCAGGAGCCCCTAGTAGCGTCCTTGCTACTAGTTCAACCTTTTTCTCCACCGCATCACCAAGCTCGTGGCGCAAGCAGTTCGGGCGAAGATTGTGCAAACACACCTTGCTTTCACGCTGGAATTCGGCGCGTGGTGCCATTGAGCCGCCGGGAAAAACCGGCCTCATCCCTCAAGCCAGCTGGCAGGATGCGATAGGCGCAGGAGTTGTTGGCCTGCTGGCGCCATGGAGTTGGATCTTGACATACTAGGAGCAAGGACGCTACTAGGGGCTCCTGGATCGAATGGAGGTCTCTCTTCCCCCCTCCTCTCTCTCTCTCTCTCTCTCGCTCTCTGTGGGTTTGGCTCTGCAGTTGAACTTCCAAGTTCTTTAATTGCAGGTGTTCAGTATGGGTAGGACAGTTCAATCTTCGAAGGCCGTCTGCGGGTGGATGGGACCACCACCACCACCACCACCACC